GCTGAACTAGCTGACTGGTGTCATTGCTAGGCCATTCTTATCTTTGGAAGGTCATGGTGACTGGGAGAGGTTCTAGCAGACGGGAAGAAAGCAACTGTCACCTCTATCTTGAAGAAAGCCAAGAAAGAGGATCTGGGGAACTACAGGCCAGTCAGCCTCACCTCGGTTTCTGGGAAGGTGTTGGAGCAAATCTTCCTGGAAGCCATTTTCAAAGACATGAAGGGTGAGAGGTTGATTGGAACTAATCAGCATGGATTTATGAAGGGGAAATCATGCTTGACCAACCTGATAGCCTTCTACAGTGAGATGAGTAACTTGGTGGATGAGGGGAGAGCAGTGGATGTTGTTTATCTAGATTTTTGACGCTGTCATCCATAACATTCTCATTGACAAGCTGATGACATATGAACTAGATAGGTGGATAGTGAGGTAGACTGAAACCTGGCTCAACTACCAGGCTGAAAGGAATGTGATTAGCAGCACAAAGTCCAGCTGGAGGCCAGTGACTAGTGGTGTACCCCAGTGGTCAATACTGGGGCCAATACCATTCAACATCTTCATTAATGACCTGCATAATGGCACAGATGCATCAGCAAGTTTGCAGATGATACAAAACTGTGAGGAGTGACCGATACACGGGAAGACGGTGCTGCCATTCAGAGGGACCTCCAGAGGCTGGAGAAATCAGATGACAGAAACCTCATGAAGTTCAACAAAAGGCAATGCCAAGTCCTGTCCCTGGGGAAGAACAACCCCACAGCAGTACAGGCTGGAGAGCAACCAGTTGGAAAGCAGCTTGGCAGGAAAAGACCTGGGGGTCCTGGTGGACAATAAAGTGACCATGAGCTAGCAATGCACGCATGTGGCAAAGGCAGCCAACAGCCTCCTGGCCTGCATTATGAACAACATTGCCAGCAGGGTGAGAGAGGTGATCCTCTGCTCAGCGCTGGTGAGGCCACATCTGGGGTGCTGTGCCCAGTTCTGGGCTCCCCAGTGCAAGAGAGGGATGGAGCTCCCGGTGCGAGTCCAGCAAAGGGCCTAAAGGCCCTTAAGGGATTAAGGGATGATTAAGGGACTGCAGCATCTCATATGACAAGAGGCTGAGAGAGCTGGCCCTGTTTAGCCTGGAGAAGAGAAGGCTCAAGGGGGATCTTATTGATGGGTATAAATACCTAATGAGGTAGAGTGGAGTAAAGAAGACAGAGCCAAACTCTACTCCATGGTGCCCAGTGAAAAAACAAGAGGCAATGGACATAGATTGAAATATAGAAATTACACTTAAACATAAGAGAACTTTTTTTTTACTATGAGGGTGGTTAAACACTGAAACAGGTTGCCCACAGAGGCTGTGGAGTCTCCATCCTTGGAGGTATTCAAAACCCAGCTGGATGCATTCCTGGGCAGCTTGCTCCAGCTGACTCTCCTCTTAGCAGGGGCTTGGACTAGGTGACCGATCTCAGTGCCAGCCTCATCCTGTGAGTCTGTACATGCCTGCTTTATGTTACCCTTTCCCTAGGCATCTCAGAATGGCATTGCTTAAAAGACTGCTCTGCCCCACTCAGGTTTTCTTTGAGCACAGGTAGCGGTTCCTCTGCTGAAGACTGAGAGGAAATCTTAGTCATCAAGCTAAGCTCAGTAGGTTTCCTTCAAAGCCTAAAAACCTACTGGGAACAGAAGAAGCACAAAGTCTGCTATTTTTTTCCTCCCATTTGCAAGCAAAAATATAACAGGAAGAGACCTAAAATCCCGTAAGACCTCACTACCAAAAGCAGTCTGTTCAACTAAGCAGTGACAGATAGTAAGCCTCATAAGAAATTTGATTTAAACAAGTTTTCATAAGCTTATTCTTTTTGCCTCATGCACAGCCACACAGGTTCTCTCCATCGCCCAGTCAGGAGCATGCATTACACGCTGTGATGGTACAGGAAGGGCTACAGCTATCTCAGGATCCTCAATAAAACCACTCCTAATGTTTGTTTCAGGATTTCAGCAAAGACCTTACAGATTTGTGTAAATCCTTTAAAAAAAAAAAAGCCTTCTGATTGAAGAATCCGTCCCTCTGTTTGGGTCATAAAACCCATTCCTGCAAATCTACTCATGCAACTAAGGGATATTAAGGCATATAAGCAGTGGGTGCGGGATAGTTGTAGATTGGTGCAGTTTAGGGCAGACGAGGCCCAGTACGTTAAGATACGCAATAACATGCTGTATACAGTATAGTAGTTCCTTATCAGGCTCAAATGAAATAGCTCTTAAATGAGAGAATAATAGGAATATGCAGCCCTAATCTTCATTTGATATAAATCTACATAAACCCATGTCTAGCTATAATTGTATTAACAGTAGTTTTATTAAACTCTTACTACACCCTTAATTAAAGTGTGCTCCTTCACGTGCAGCAGCTTTGCCTTTCCTGCTCTTCACAAACCATGCACAATACTCTGCACGTTGAGGTCCAAATCCTATTATCACACAATAGAGAATAAGCTTGTAGCAGTTAGATGCACCCTTAGTAGGTTAAGCAGTAGTACTTAGGGTTTCTCTTCAGGCTGCATCCCTAGGACCTTATCCTGCAACTGGAGGTCAGGGAATGAGAGCGCAAAGCTATCGGGTCATTTTACCTACGTGCAATTTCTTTGGTCACAGCTACATCTGTGATGAATCGTTTCTTCTGCTACAGCCATGCAGTCATTCTCCTGGCTACTCTTCAGCCTTTCATTTCAGCAGCAGCCACCATTGTAATCTTAAGGGTGATGTTTTGACCATGTTAAGCTAGAGGGTCTCCTCAGAAGTCAGGGCATGTTCTGTGAATTTGCACCAGTATAGCAGTCTGTGGACCAGCATCTCCTGCTAAAAAATGTCTCTTTTTGCAAAGCCTAAGAAAGAGTTTGTAAATCCATTTGTTTCTAGACTTCTGTCACTGTCTTCAGTGCCCCAACAGTTCAGGGAGTTCTGCCAGGTTTCTTCCAGCTCTTTGAGGTACCTTTGAAGGTTGGCTACTTCTGGCTGAACTTAACTTGACACTGTTGCCTTTCTGCCCTGTGCTATCTGTCTTTCACGCTAGTGGCACGGTTCCAGCATCAAATAACATGCTAGTAGTTTCTCATCTTGTAAATATTTTCAGGAAGTGCAGCTATTTCAGGCTTAATCAATCACTTTGTAGTTCATTGTCTGTTATTGCCCCAGCATGCAGGCCCTACCACTGGTGGTCTATAATGTGGAAATATTCTGGGGGGGTTTGTATTCATGTGCCAACAATGTAAAGCATTCTTTACAGTGGAGACACACCTCTTTTGGCTAACATTAAAATGATACTGGGTTTGAAGCACTGAGTGCATTAAGTAAATACGTGCTAGAAATCTAGTCTGAATAGTACAGGCTTCCTTCAGAAATGCCCAACTTATTTTGTTATAGTATATTGTACTATATTGAAGATCACATGTTTCCCTTAAAAACCCTTTTTACACCAGTGCCATCTTGAAATTAAAAAATATGAATGAAGGAGATATTTTCTTTGTTGCTTGATCTTTTTTATACTAATTTAATGGATCATGTTCCATTTTTAAGATTAGAAGAGAAAACCTATACTCTGTCATTAAAGGGTAATTGCCATCTCCACTCTACCAAACTGTATGGAAAATTCTACTATAACATAATATAAAATAGTGGTATTTCCATACATTTTTAAAAAATTCTTAATGGGATGATTGGTTGTCTTCTTGTTATAGAATTCTGTAGGATGGCTTCAAAAGCATAGAAATTATTTCTGTTTAATTCCAATAAATTCTGTAGTCTGGAAAATATTTTCTATCTAATGTCGAAACGATACATTTCTATGATGTCATTGCTCCTCTTGCTGCAGGTGAATCATAGTTCTCCTGAACAGTAGCCAAAGGGTATAACATATTATATTGGAAAGACTGAGCACTGTCACAGTAGGAGTGGTGGATAGTGGAGGCTTGAACTCTGAAGGCTTGAATTCTCTACTAATCCTGCACCCTACATCGTGCTTGCCACACACCTGCTCAGAGTGCTGAGGCTAGAGCACAGGCTCAAAGAAGCACCAGCCTGCCTCTGCGAACTGGGCTAGAGCTTTCTTTTACACTGAGCATGCCAGTTAAGTGACTTGTTTAAAGGACATTCCAACTGAATTTGTTCATAAGATAGCAGGGATTGACTTGCATGTGTATGGCTAAATCTTTTTGTTAAAATGAAGATCAAAACTGAGCTATAGTCTACAGCAGAGCTCCTTGCCTTAGCATAGGCCAGGAATGATTCCTGTGTAACCCATATCCTTGGTGGCTGGTACAACTGAGTTAGCTACTGTTAAAGAGTTTCACATTGTACAGCCTAGAAATATGCCAGTTGGCTAAAATTAATTTGTGTGAGTCTTTTTTTCCATTGCTGGCCATAAGGGCAGCCATAACAGCCCTGGTTGTTATCGACAGCCCTGACCTGGATCATGCAAAGCACATTAGCAGAGAACATAGTTAAGCGCCTGAAGGTCCATACTATCATTGCAAATTAGACTGCTGCACAAGACCAGCAGATGGATCTGGTGAAGTACTGAAGATTTTGCATGATTAAACCTAAAGCAATTAAATATGTTCCCTGATTCAGACAGAAGTTAGACAACATGCTAACTTAAAGTATACAGGTAGACCAAGACCAATCTTAGTGAGGTTACTAATATTTTTAAATATGAGTATGGGTTTAGTCACGTTGTGAGGGGGAATCACAGTATGAAGTCATGTTGCCATATTGTCATCACATCCTATTGTGTCATAATATTTAACTGTGCCTCTGTCTATTTTGTCACCCTGTCTGACAGGTTTAAGTCTACACAGAGTGTTCAGGTCAGTCTGGGACACTGCTATATATATGTACTCCACAAATATATGTCTACGTGAACTCTATTTCATGCTGACACCCAAAGTTTTATCATAAGAAACTTATGATGAAGACCAAGTTTGTTTCAAATTTATTTATTTTCTTTGCAGACCCGAAAGAAAGTGTGACCAGCCAATGTGTGAAGAGCACGAAGATGAGAAAATTAATATCTATTGTTTGAACTGTGAAATGCCCACCTGCTCCTTGTGCAAAGTCTTTGGTGCCCATAAAGACTGTCAAGTTGCTCCTCTCACAAACGTTTACCAGAGACAGAAGGTAAATCTTTTTGTATCTCATAATCTTCCCAGTGACTTCAAGGACAGTTCACAGGAAGGTATTCCCAGGAGGTTCCTGTGAATTTCCAGAAGGGCTTGGGGAGGGGGTGTCTTTTCCATTCCTATGTGTGAGTGAAAGGCTCACAAACTTATAGCAGCTGTGTATTTAGAAACACAGTAAAATATTTTAATAGAAATCACACAGAAACGTATTACAGTGTCCCAATTTGTTATTAGCATAATGAGTAAATATTTTAGGCAGAGGTGTGATGTGAAGCTGAGGATCTTCCTTTTGAGGTTCCTAATCTCTTTTTTTCCCAGTGCTTTTAGATCAGGAAAAAAAAAAAAAGTAGGATTTCCAGCACATGTGATGGGAAGAGAACAGCCCATTACAAATCTTACAAATCAAATAATATTCTGTTAGGCACTTTCCTCTATAAACATCCCAGTTTTAAGAAATGGGAAGTGAAAAACCTTTTTTGCAAGTGAATGCAGGAATATTCAATAGTTGGCAGCACAGGATGTACCTAACATCCTCTGCCCTTGCTGTCACCAGTAAAAGACTTGTTTATTTTTAATACAGTATTAATTTAAAACCTGACTCACTGGGTTATCCTCATGAGATAAACAGCTCATTTTTCTGGAGGGCCCCAGTGGGGCAAGCAATCAGACAGGCCAACTTTACAATCACAGCCTCCAACTTTCTCACACAGCTGCTTGCGTGTGTGCAAACTACAAATGAGAAGTTGCTTTAGGAAAGTAGTTACAAGCATCATTTTCAATCAAAAAAGGAGAGAGAAAGGGGAGAAGTTTCTTGGATAGCATCCATGCCCCGATCTCTCCCTTTCCATGGAGATTTGCGAGCACTGGTTTCCCTCCCAGTGTGTCTGTGGAAAGAGGAAAGTGCGTGTAACTGCATCTTAGCACAAGCGTTGGCAGCAGCTGTGCCTGGTGGCTGCCTACCGAGGTCTTTGTGAGTTCGGAAGATGTTCAGCCCAGCCACCAGACACTCCTGGAGCAGATGGGTGGCAAGTCAGTGTGCAAACAGGGAACTTAAAATAAAGATTTGAAGCTGTCTTGCCTAAGACAGGAGAAATAACACAGAGGCTGAAGGATGTGTGCTTCAAAGAGTCCTTTACAACTGTTATTATATCAGCTGGGGTCACAGACACTTTTCTCTATAGCTAAGGCACTAAATAGAAAGTTTACCAAAGGCTCCTTGTCTTCCTCAGCCTCCTCACCAAGTTCCCTGAGGACCAGCTTCTCCATCCCTTCTCTGCAAAGGACATCCCATAATCATCCTCATTCCCACACTCGGACTGTTCCTTTCTTCCCCTTGGAAGAGAGACTCTCCTTCCTCCCATGCAGAGCAATCTGCCTCGCCATTTCCAGCTCCCTCTCCTTCCTTTCTCCCCGAGTTTTTCCTTTATGTTACACAGCAGGGCCTCCACATCCCCGCCTGGTCTGAATCCTGCAAGAGGGTTTCCCTCACGCCCGTGGCTCTGTCTCTACCCCACTTTCCCCCATGTTCTCTCTCACACCCTCACCAAGGCCCCGCAGCCTCACTGCCCCTCATTGCAGCTATTCTGTAGTGGCCATGGTCTCTGTGGCTCAGGTAGATCCAGAAACTAAGTCAATCTCTCTGGAGGCAAAGTCTTTTCTCTCAACACACTCACATGGACTATTTTGGGCTTCTTGAAAGCTTCTTTGAGCTTTGTATGAAAGCATCTACAAGAACCTCCTGGAGTGAAGTGCTTCCTCCCTTCCAAACCACAGCTTCTTTTCCCTGAGAAGTTTCAAAATGTCCATGTTTCTGGCACGTTTCAGGAGAGGAAACTTGTGGGGAGGTAAAGCGCCAGTTTGCACTGGGTTCTGGTGAGAAGAACAGCTAAGACAGGTCATTTGTCTACTGCTCTGTCCACTGTTAGATGTGCCACTCTGCAAAGTGTGGCAGAACTGCTGCTAGCGTGTCACAAGTCTTTAACCTGCCACCCAATTTCTCCCCTGTTACCATCTAGTCTGAACTCAGTGACGGCATCGCGATCTTGGTGGGGAGCAACGACCGAGTGCAAGGGATAGTCACACAGCTGGAGGAGACCTGCAAGGTGGTTGAGGTAAGTATCACAACTTTCATTGTAATTATTTCATTGTAAAGCTGCATCTTTTAAACTAATGATAATGAGCGTTCTTCAACAGACTTCATTTTACCCAAATGGATTCCCCAATCATTTTGCTAAATGATTACCTGTGGTTTTGTACAGTGTCAGCTGTACTTCCTCAATCCAAGAATGCCTCCTGCTCAGCATCCTGCCTCTGACACTTTCCAGGAGCATGTGATTAAGGATAAAGAATAAGAATAATCCACATCAGCATGTCTTGCTCAGCATCCTTAGTTGCATAGAATATAAGTGAAGATAAAATCAGATCCAACAAAATGCCATCAACTCTCAGTTCATGTAACTTCTCAGATCAGATACTAGAGCTGTAAAAGACCAATGTTAGTCTAAAACCTGATCCTGAGAACAGGGTCTTAATCTCAACCATAGTGTATCTTCCAAACACGTCAATGCACTGTGCATTTAGTTACTTTGCCTTCTATGCAGAAGTACTTTATTCATATGCTTATGTTTGTCCTTGAAGGGGTCTTGTTGTGTTGCTTGCAGGTGGAAACAGCTGGGTTCTTACTGTGAGTTTGGGGTTTCCTGTAAAGGTCTTACTCTGACAGAGCTGGAATTAGTTTTGTGACGTTCAGTACCACAAGTGGCTTTCATTTCCTCCAAGAGGTTTGCACCAGCAAAGCAAATAAAAATTTCAGCTCTGGTCAATTTGAGCATCAAAGAGCAGTAGGCTGAAAGGAGCTTGTATGAATTGATTTTATGATCAGTGTTTGATGAAGCATCTGCTGAAGCAATTGCATCCCTCTCAGCCCAATTAGAATTCCATTGACCCTTCAGAGTGAGAGCAGAAAAGAGAAACTGCAGTGAAAAAGAAGTTAATGCAAGATGTATAGATTCTAATTGGCAAGAAAAATTGATTCCACAAGTTAAGTACACAGTTGCCCAAGGCTCCTGTTTCCTCAGAGCAAGGAAGAACAGAAAGTGTCCAAGTTTGGTTCAAAGAATATAAAACCATTAGCCCGAGTAAATGAGAGAGGGTGCTAGCAGCAAGTCAGAACTTTGTAGTCCGGAAGCCTTCATGTTGCAAGGATGAAATTGGCTGCTATCAGGACTTTGCAGACAAAAACAAGCCTTTCAAGTAGGTTGACTGCAGAAATTTGAATCATACAAAAGCAAAAGCTTATACCCATTTGAGCTGAACTAGCTGATACAAAAACAAAACTTCAAACATCTAGTCTGAAGTATGGAGAAAACACTGTGCTAAAAATACCCTATTAAATGCCACAGTTTCTGAAACTAGCTTCCTCAAATTCATCCACTCATGTAGTTGAACCTTTGAACTCCAAGCCTAGAGAAAGTGCAGCTATTTTACCTTCAGATGTTTTAACAGGCTTTCCACCTTTAAAGTCAGAGATTGCAGAAAATAGATCTTAGAACTCACCTTGGCGCTTCCATGTTACCTTTCAAGCAAGTCGCATTTCCTACCATACTAGAGCTTTGTCTGCATTGGCATCAGTTTGTCCTTGAAGATGAAAAACTACAGCTGGAGCTGAGAAATGTGCACACCTGGAAGTAACGCTTATAATCTGGGATTGTCTCTTCTCTCTGCTTAACACTTTACAGAGATCAACAGAGATGGGCTATAGCAGAAAATACATGCTCATTTTTCTTTTAGCCTACAGTTCTACATTCTACAAGAGAAAAACACATAAATTTGGATTAATATTTGCATAGCTTATAACTGATTGAAAAGCAGAACAAATTCACATCTTACACTGAGAAATAAAAAAGGAATATAAAATGCTAAATACTCAAAAACAATAACAAGTAATTGAATAATGTTTAGCCATGTAAAAAATGCAGGAATCAAATAATGAAGCAAAAATCACAGTATTTACTTCAAATGCTAATGGCATAGGACAGTCAGTACAGATACTTCAGAAAAAGCAATGCAGCTCACACTCAGTGCCAAGAACTCATTTCTTTTTGCTCTAGCTGTGCTTTAAAAAGGAAAAACAAATACGCTGAGAATTTTTCACAATGGAAAAACATTTATTTATTAAGCTTTTTCATTACTCAGGATCTGATTAGGATACCTCCATCAAGCAGAGACTTAGTATGGGAACATTTTATTCAGCAAGAGAGTATTTCAGAAGTATTTAAGCATTTGCACTTAGGAACCTGTTTTGCACTCTCACGCTTGAAGTTCACAACTCTGTAATATCTGCTGTCAGGAAATATTATATATTAGAGCCTAGGGATAGAGAAGGGCACCTTGCCTTCTCTCTCTCTTCTTCTCCCATCGCCTGTCTTATATCAAATGGCAAAGACAGCACACACCTGTCCTGAAATTAAGGTTGTTTTGCAAGTGACCTGAATGGCACTTCAAAGGAGGTCACTGTAGATCTGAGGAGGTCACTGTCGATCAAAACGAATAGAAGTCTGTAAGAAGAGGAAGGGCAGGAAACCCTGGGAGAAAACTAGGAAAGGAGTGAAAGAGAAGAAGATTATTTGAGGAACGAACAATAGAATGACATCCAGGAACCACGGCTCACCTGGTTCCAAAGTTTCCTTACACCCACCCTATAATTCACTGATCCTTCAACTTAGCCTATTTTTTAACATCTTTGTGGATACTGAATGAATGGCCTCCTTTGATATTTGTTTCGTCATCAGGTAGGGGCAGATCTTGGTTGAAGGGTGCATAGCACAAGGATCTTTTCAGTGATTCCTGTCTCTGAACCAGGCAGGTGTACATAGATATCTGTAACGTCTCTGTTGTCCTTATGGCTTCGGTCAGCTCATCCATCCATGCAGCCATGCCATGGCTCCATTTCCCTTCACTGTGGGCCTCAGGCGGGGAGGCCAGCCCAGGGAGGGGGTGCTCACAGCAGCCCTGGTCCCCTTCCAGCCAGGGATCACATAAATAATAAAGTCCGGCTGTGTCGCGCTGTACCCTTCCCAGCTTGGCATTGTTGTTGCTGCCCAGCGATAGACATGAGCACCACGGCAAATACAGAGGAATTTCTGGGAAGTGCAAAAGACCTCAGAAGGGCAGGACATGCTCTCAACCCACTCCTTTGGCCTTCTATGAGTTTTAAATTAAGGGTGCCTGTTTAGCATGGTCTTCCTCATTCAGGAGCAGAGGTGGGTACTTGGGCTGGTGCAAAAGGATCTGTGTTTGGTCCCCTGGCCTTTGTAAGTGTAGAATGTGATGTTTGGCCATATGTCCATCTTCCAAGGCATCCTTTGAAGCGATACAGAGCAGACTGTCATCAGCCTCAGGAAAGAGTTCTGGCAGATAGTCAAGAAAAAGTGAAATTTTCTCTGGCCAAATACTAGCAATAATCAGTCTGAACAGTTCCAAAACTACTGTGGGACTGTTAATAATCCTGTGCAGCCAGGATCTCAACTTTGTGCCTCAAGGGCTGAAGATGAGGAATTGATTCAGCCTTGGTTTCTAAGAAAGAGATTAAAATAATCACCATCATCCACAGTGAGATCCACAATAAGGACAGTACAGAGTCAAGAAGTATGGCCTTACCCCTGCCATTTGCCCCAGGGCACACAGATGACTCAAATACTTCTGCTTAGAAGACTTCAGACATTACAGATAACCTGTCTCCACTCTCATCCCTGTAAACCGCCCTTACAGCTGCATTGCGCTCTCGTTAGAGGGCTCTCAGTGAAGCAGTCATCAGACCCATGTTCCTTACTCAGTGAAAGTGCTACGTTGTCCAGGTAGAAGTACAGCAGCAGTGTTTCAAAAAAAGATGTGAAAATTAGAGCCAGAAAATGGGGTGGAATCAGACTTCTTGTCCTTGTCCTTTTGTCACATACCATTTTTTCAAGGTACCTCTACCTCATTCAGTGCACAGTAAAACTAATATAGTGGACACTTACCGTCAAAATAGAGTCTAAGAGCACTTAAGTAAAAAACAGGCCTAACCAAGATAGTTTCAGGTTCTTTGGTAGGGGAAAAAACAAAAACAGCAACAACAAAAAATCCTCCAGAACTGATTTGAGCTGACCTTTCCTTTAAAGACCATTATATTCATGCAAATGAATCCAGCTGCTAATATGGCACCTTTTTTTACTTTTCCTAAAGATTTTTAAGTACCACTATAGACGTCATAAATACTTTTCACAGACTGACAAGTTACACAATAACCTGTTTGGGGGATTTCAATGATTTGGAATCAGTAGTTTGGAAACAGCTTTAAAACTTTTGTTCTGTTAGCTTGAAGTTTGAAAATTATAGAAGTCTCTGGGGTCATTCAAAATCCTTTGCACTGTTCAGAAAGAGGAATTTCTTTGATGAAAATGCTTCCAAGTAACTGCAAAAATAGAAACTCTTTTAAGAACATAACATGTTTAATATAAACCAAATGATTCACAGGAATGCTGCAGACGACAGAAAGAGCAGCTGTGTGAAAAATTTGATTATCTCTATTCTGTACTGGAAGAAAGAAAAAATGAGATGACACAAATAATCACTAGAACCCAAGAGGAGAAACTGGAACACGTCCGCTCCCTGATGAAGAAGTACGCAGATCATTTGGAAGCCGTGTCAAAGCTAGTTGAATCAGGAATCCAGTTCATGGAAGAGCCAGAAATGGCTGTGTTTTTGCAGGTATGAAGTCTATAAATAGAGACAGAAGAGGAGTGACAGGTTTATTTAAAAACTATTTAAGTGTTTCTTGATTTTAGGCACATTCAGAGTTTGGTCATCTTTGAGTGAACATTTGTACAAACTCATTTTTTTAAACACTTACATCAGCACAGACAAATGACTAGCCTTCTTGTGAATAATATCCAAACCAGGAATGTGAGTATTTGCTATTTGCACCAAAATATACTATCCTGTGTATAGGTTTCTAGTTGTCCAAAGAAGCAACAGAAATTTAAATATTTTCAATTGTATTTCTATTGTCCTGCCACTGTCATATATGTGTACATGGGTTTCTGTGAGTTATAATTTTCATTTGCATATTGAAAAAGTGGTTAACTTTCAAAGAATTAAATACACTTGTTCCAAGTCGCGTTTTTATGCCTTTACGTCAACACTTTTCTGTTTTCTTCCTATAAACTGAGAACTGCTGATTAGGAAATCATTAGCAACCTGTCCACTGAAATTATTGGTGTAGAATTTCTGTCCTGCAGTGTTACAGTTTATCTGTATTAAAGGTTGAAAGGGTCTTCTCTACCAAAAACGTGCTTTCATCACTGAATTGCCTTTGAAGAGCACAGAATTTTTTCCTAGGCAAATAAAATTTTGTGGCTGCAAAGGCATACCCTTATGGATATCCAAAGATAGTTCTAGTGACTAGAGATGATAACAGAACAATTGATTTTTGCTACAAGCTCAAAAAAGACAAAAAATGTTTGCATTTCCTTTTTGTAGAAAATGTTTGTCTTTCCTGTCATATTCAGATTTTAATTAACAACTATTCAATGAACTAAAAGGTTTACTCAGCTATATTCTAATTGCTAATGAAATAGGATCTAATTCATAGATCTCATGATCGACATTTATGAGATCCCTACTAATAAGTTCAGAAGCAGCTTGTGTAAGAACTAGATCTCAGTGCATAAAATCTCTGAAAAAATTGAACCATTTAAGTCAGTTATTTCCTTTTTCTTTCCACAGAATGCCAAAACATTGCTACAAAAGTAAGTATTTAAACTTGAAAGATAAAGTATATATTTGAGCTTTATAAAGAATTACAAACTGCAAGTTTATCTGCAAAGCCAAATGCAAATGACTAGTACCTCTGTTCTAGAATTACTGAAGCATCTAAAGGATTTCAAATGGAAAAAATAGAGGATGGCTATGAAAATATGAACCAATTCACAGTGAACCTCAGTAGAGAAGAAAAAATAATAAGAGAAATTGATTTTGAGAGAGGTATGTTATTTATTTCACCTAACCTCCTTTTTAAAATTGCAGCTGTGTGTAATTTGCATGCTGATACTGATATTTCCCTCCATCCCAAGGTGTAACTAAACTATTTTGTATCAGTTATAATAAACAGCAAAAATCCATCACAGTTAAAAGATCAAGTAATTGACACCATTAATTGACACCATTAATTTTACCTTTTATGTAGCCTCAAGACCTTCCAAAGAGCATGAACTTTACTGACTCCTCAGAGGGCAGGGAACACCCCTCACTTATGGTGAGGGGACCATAAAATTAAGCTTTTATCTCAGACTATGGAGTACTTTTTCCCCCCATAACAGGTGCCATTATTTTATGGTATATCAGTTATAGAAAGCCATTGAAGAAATATAATGCTTACTGCTAAAAGAAGTACTTATGAAAGATATACTTTTTTTGTATTAATAGAGACATGTAACAGAAATGTAATTGAAATTCAAGATCAAAGAGTTATGGAGGGAATCAGTATCATTGCCTTTTGTACATTTAAGATCCTTTACGATGTCATTTGTATGCTTGATGCTGGTGTATGTAATATTGCAATGTTGCTACCCCACATTTGCTGAAGTAGCCTGAAATCTAGGCTCATCTATGCTTTATCTCAGAGAATAAGCCACAAGAAATCAGTGGACATAAAAGTTTCAAACAAGCAGATCTTTCCCATTAGAAGGCAGCAGTAATAGTCATCTGACCATCTCTTATTTATTTTCTATTTTCTCTACTATTTTCTAGTACTGGCTTCTGATGATACATTTATATTTATCTTCATCCGCCCAGTTATGTCTCATAGGGACGCATGGGACTAAGTCCACTGGCACTCATCACAAAGTCCCCAGCCATGACTTATACTAGCTTTAGAGCATGTGGTTGGCCCCATGACTGATGCAGGTAGATCTTGGTCTGTGAGCTGGGGTCTGTGGACCAGCTGTACTTGGCACAAGGGTCCATATAGCAGGACAAAAGCTGTGGCACCAGTCAGCAGCAGAGGATCGGGTGCAGGACCATGGAACTCAAGGGATTTGTCCTAGGAGGAGCAGTCCCCAGTTCAATTTGCCTTGCGCCTGGTCTGTCCCTGCGATCAGCCACAGCTGCCACATTGCTGCCACACATGTTCATGTGCTGAGACGATGAGCCAGTGCATGGGACACGCATCTCCACCACGTGATCTGAAACGTGACACCCGTCTTCTAGGGATGAGGCAGTAGTAAGGCATATGCAATCGGGCATTTGGCCCTATATCTGAAGCTATAGTCAATGAGCTTCGCCACATTCAGGGGACTTGGGAGCTGAGTTTCAGCACTCTGCTTATAGGAGTGTATTTGCCTACAGGAACATTTCTCCGTTATGATGACATTATTTAATTTGCAGATCTGTGCTCTGTCTGTGTATTCAGGCAGAGCAATGAACAGTAAAACTCTCACAAGCTATTCAAGACACACAGTCATTTTGGAGCTTGGGTTAATGCATCCATCTATGTTTATTTCGCTGAAGTACTAGGATGGTTTTGAATAACATCTGATATTTGTGAGGATGAATAGCAAGATTATGCAAAACAAAATGCCTGTTAGAGGGCTCTCTCTGAAAACAAGTCTGCCCAAGAATGCTAACAATGTAATGTGTTATATGATGCTAAACCTACGGTTTGACAAGGCTTGACAGTCTGGTTTTAAGGAGGTTTACCCTAAATCTTCACAGGCAATTATTGCAAAGCTGGTAAAGATTAACTTTGATGGTTCAATCATTTTTTAAATAAAAAGATAAATAAAATTGCAAGAGAGACCTCTTTTTCCTGACAGATTGTGCCAGACCAGGTATCCTCTCACCAAAAAGAACAATTCCATGCTGCAAATCCCTCACAGGGATAATTGCATTAACAAGATTTTCTGTCCTCCTTCCTGTGGAAAGGACTAGTTTAAGATTTAAAAAAAAAAAGTGTACGTTCAGCCTAATTGTTTCACAGATCAGAGGCAAAGTGCCCAAGCTATTCAAAAACAGTTGAACTGGCACAGCTGAAGGGGTCAGTGGGATCTGGAAGGGGGTAAGGATGAACAGCTGGAGGGCTGCAGCAATGGGAACAGCAACATCATAAACTGTTGCTAGAGGCTTGTAGCACAGAACAAGACTTTACGTCATGCCAGATCAGCTGATATTGAAGTGTGAAGTCTGTGTAAATGCAGTTTAGCACAGTGGCTAACTCAGCATAAGGATGGCTGTGTGCTCACACCTATCCTGGGTCACGCTGGCACTGCCAGGAGGGCCACCAGCGCCCACATCAGGGCACCAACCTGAGGTCCTGTCACCCAGGCTCCATGTGCTGGGGAGGCCGGAGAGGATTCGTGCTGCTCCGCTGGGGGTTTCTGGAGCTGGTTAACCCAGCGGAGAGCAAGATTGCTGCAATTACACCGGTGCCAGGGCCTCCCTTGTGCTGGCAGCTCGTTTGCTGTGGCCAGTGCCGGTGTGCAGGAGTAGACTCCTTGCCACTGGCCTCTCCCCAGCGTGCATCCTCTGCCTCCCTCCAGGCCCTGTTGCCCAGCCCTTTCTGAGCAAAGCAAAACCTGTGCTTTCCCTTGGGAAAAACCCTCAGCCAGATTATGAGTAGCTTTGCCATGCAACTGTAAATGGCTTGTTATTGCATAAGGGCTGTAGACAACTTCATATGGTCTTTTTATGCCTATTCTGTTAGAGGAGGAGGGCGAAGCAGAAGAGGAGGAGACGGTGGATGGTGAAGATCTAGAAGAAGTCCACACAGAGTCATCAGGAGAGGAGGAGGAGGAGGAGGAAGGGGCCGAGAGAGCACCACTGCCATCTCAGCAGGACCCTGAAGCACCAAGCGCAGCTGGCGAGCCCCTAGTCGAACTGGCCCCACCGTCACTGCCCGCTGAACCAGCTGGCCAGGTAACCTCCCCCGGGGCTCCTCTGCCCTGCCATCTCTGCTGAGCGCCGCCTTGCATCCAGGGCATGGTTAAGGTAGTCAAGACACTGCAGGAAAAAGATGCCTTTGGCCCTTGTACATATATATTCACAACTGTACCTGTGCCCTCAACTAGCATATATATTTCTTGATAGGCAAAAATTACACTGTTACATAAATCACTATATATATGGGAGGCATAAGATACAAATAAAAGAGATTTAATTGGGGGTTTAAGCACGTTACAGCGGATGTTCTGCTTGCTGTGTATCATGTGATTTAACTCAAACTAACTCTTATAAATGAGATGGT